ATGAGCTCATGATAACCCTGTAAACTTGTGTGAAAAATCTCCTGATAATCCTGTTTTCTTTGACCTCCAGATAGTGATTGGTTAAGCAGTTTCGATTAAAACAGTTTCGATAAAGGCATTTTCGACTCAACTCTAATGCTAGAATAAAATCACAGGGTTATCATGAGCTCATGATAACCCTGTAAACTTGCGTGAAAAATCTCATGATAATCCTGTTTTTCTTTGAGCTCATGATAGTGCCTCATGATAATCCGGTGCCTCATGATAACCCTGTCAGATTGGTCAAAAACTCATTATAAACCGGTAAACGTATGTCCCGATAACCTTAAGAAGACTGTTATGACTGTGGGGGGGGGGGATCAATAACATAAACAGTAAACACCCCCCTCAGCACCTTTGAATTATGTTTTCATATCCTTCAAATCCAGACATAAACATTAAATTCAAGGGTATGTAGAAACATACAGGTTGTCCCAAAAACGCAAAGACGCATGTCAATTGATTTTTGGCGATTTGGGGTAAAAAGTTTGAAATGGAATGGAACTTACAAGCAATGAAAAAATGTCTTTTATATGAGAAGATGACATTTGTAACAATCTTTATAAGACAAAACAAAGTGCATGGATTTTCCGTTGCATCATCTTTGCATAGACATATCTTTTTATATCCTTAATTTACTTTTTTCGAAAACGTTCAGTAAAAACAACGAAGCATTGATTAATAGGGGTATTTCGTTCACAATAACCCTGAGAACAGGAGCCCTAAGGAGTTACGCGCACATGCTCTCTCTCTGTCTTGTAATTTAACGCGGCATGCGCGAAACTCCGTTGGCTTTTGCCTCAGGGTAATTGTGAACGAAAAACCCCTAAATCTTGAAAGGATAACATCTAGTGTTCTATCTGTATTATTATTAATCTATGGTTAGAACTATGACGAATGTCGCCTGGAAAACTGTGCAGGAAGGTTAACAGCTTCTCTTGTATATTTTTATGAAGAAAATCAAAATAAACAAATTCTCTTCTCTTTAGAATATAAACAAAAGAAAAGATTTTGCAAGAAAAAGAAAAAACAACGAGGTTTTGAATAAAATACTTAGATGAAAAGGAAAATAGGAAAACTAAAACCGATGTTGGAAAACCAGAAGATAAAGGCTCCATTCTTTTGAAAAGAACCATCAAAGAAAACAATTCAGGGAAACTATACCCTCCCCCCTCGTCATCCTCCTTCTCCCCCTTTTCTTCCTTCTACTCTTTTTTCTCCTTCTCTTCTCCCCTTCTCGGTAATTTTAGGCTAGGTTAGTCATAAAAATAAACGAAATTTTCAGTTTTTTTTAACTGCTCTCTCCGTTTGTCGTTTGTAACCGTAATTGTCCATTATTTTTCGTGAACAAATTTGAAAATAAGTCTAACCTTTCTGCGTAATGTCGTTCACAGTATAGGTTGTTTTCGTATGTACAGTAGGTTAAATCCACCAGAAGTTCCTGAATAGTGTACATTATATAATATATATATTTACAGCAGGTTAAATCCACCAGAAGTTCTTGAATAGTCTACATTAAATATACAGAGTGTCCAATGAAACATGACAGCAGGTAAATAGTTTTGAACTCGTCTTCCAGTTACTGTATAAGATGTTAAAGACTTAACCCAGTTTATTTTGCTAAAAAAAATCCTTTACTTCAATTTATTTACTTTGACATAGATTTACTGAAATATGACTGCCATATAACATTCTTTATCATTCTTTTTGGTATCAAATAACTTAACAAACTAAAGAAGAAGACATTTAAAACTATTCACCAACTATCATGTTTCGTGGCACACCCTGTATACCGTAAGTTAAATCCTCCAAAAGTTCCTGAATGTGCATTTTGTATTAAATTTAATATATGTACAATAGGTTGAATCCATCAAAAGCTTATGAATAGTGTATTAAAAAAATATACTCTCAGTTGGTAATATGTAAAATATTTTTTTATAGTTTTTCTCATTTCTAAACTTTTTTGTTGTGTTGAAAACAAAACTTTTAAATTGAAGGATTAAACTTTGATGCCAGGGATACAGGAGGAAAGATAATTTATAACTTTAAATAAATACATTATGGACACAGATCAGGTAGTCATAGATGGATCATTGACGCGGACAGCCCTGTCTAGCCTAAAAGAGATTTACTAAACAATCAGCTGCATATGTATTATTTATATGTATTATAATTTATTGGAGAATATAATCCTTTGGAAATAGGGTTTTTTGCGCAAATGTTTTTTTTGGCGAATTTTTGCGCATCTTTTGCTCATGAAGCGCTATAAGTTTTGCATGTTTTTGCGCAATAAGTTTTGCGCGTTTTTGCATAATTTGCGCAAAATCGGAAGTATTGCCCAAAATGTAAATTTTTACGCAAAACTTGTAATAGCAATGTTACCAACATTTACAGATTCAGCACAGAATTAAACAACAGAAGGTTTATTAAAAATTTACATTGTGGAAGACGACTCCTGTCCGCGTTAAACAAGTTCCACAAGATTCAACAGAATGAGAGAGAACGGATACGGGGCATTAGTACTGAATCATCTACACGTGTGATTTCGACAATAACGATTATTCTGAACCCTCTAGTAATTAGTTAAAAGAAATATATATATATACTGGAAGTTATCTATGCGTTTTTATTAGAGTCCGACTCACGTCCTCTATAACATACAAATTAATTATAATTATGCTGATCACGATTGGTTACTTTTGGTTACAAAATCTTCAAATTGAGGGACAAAAATTAATAAAACAGAAATTAGAAATTTGCAAATTGAAAATTAATGCAAAGTTTTTATAGATATCTGAATCTTTGTGTGGTGTTGTGTGGTTTGATATTTTAAATGTTGACTACTGCGAGTCGAATGCGTATAATTGAAATATCCAAGATATATGCCCACTGAGATATATATCCGTGATAAAGACAACACTGAAAATTAGCCAATTAATCTTTACTACAGCAAAATTTTATACAACCTCAACTTTAAAGTGTCGCAACGCCATGTTTTACCTTAGCCAACTCACTTATACTTTTTGTCCCTCAAAATTGCGCAAAACAGAATAACGCAAAAGCGGAATAACGCAAAAATGTAGCGCAACGAAGGCGCTTGCTTTCGCAAAAATTGCGCCAAAGTTTTGCGAATGGAAACCCTAATTGGAAAAGAGTAAATTAATTATTTTCTGACCTTCAAGAAATTACCTGTAAAATGTACACAATGAAAATCCCCGCATTTCGCATAGGTGGTTCATTGTGTACATCTGAATTAAGTGGATGCTTTAAAGGGACTGTAAACGTAATATCAAGTGATTCTTTATTTTCAGAGTGCCAAGTTCGAGTCACAACAGTTTTCAAGCTAAAAAACCTTCAACATTATATATGGATAAGATAAAGTTTTAAAAGGTATCGCTGTGAATCGGGCATGCCCTTATTTTGTTAATTGAAGGTCGCTTGAAATAACAATGACAGTCCATTTAAATGTTTTTATTTGATATGTGTGTGTTTGTATAGAAGTATACCTGGCACTGTGTACAAGTAAAGCATCCAGGATGATAAAGATTTGTTGGGAGCTTCGGGGCGCACACAGCTAAACTACCAGCTGTCAGGGTTTTATCACAGCCGCTACACTGACCTCTAAATATCAGCTGTCAGAGATTTATCACAGACGCAACACTGACCACTAAATAACAGCTGTCATGTTTGTATTACATCCGCTACACTGACTTCTAAATAACAGCTGTCATGGTTTTACCACAGCCGCTACACTGACCTCTAAATAACAGCTGTCAGGGTTTTATCACAGCTGATACACTGACCTCTAAAAAAACAATGTCAGGGTTTTATTAAAGCCGTCTCACTTGCCCCCTAAAAAACAGCTGTAGAGGTTTTATTACAGCCGCTACACTGACTCCTAAATAACGACTGTCATGGTTTTTATCAAAGCCGCTATACTGACCCCTAAATAACGACTTTCATGGTTTTATTACAGCCGCTACACTGACTTTTAAATAACGACTGTCATGGTTTTATCACAGTTGCTACACTGACCCCTAAATAAGGGTTTTCATGGATTTATTACAGCCGCTACACTGACCCCTAAATAACGGCTGTCATGGTTTATATTACAGTCGCTACACTGACCCCTAAATAACGGCTGTCATGGTTTTATTACAGCCGCTACACTGACCTCTAAATAACAGCTGTCTGTGGGTTATCAAAGCTATTTCAGTAAACAGTAAATGACTGTTGTTGGTTCCGACAATGACAGCTGTTTTTCAAAATAATCTCAGTGGAAAGGGATGATTCATCAGTTTTCCTTTCTATTTTTATTGCTATTTAGAGTACACGGTACAAATACTCTGAAATCGGCCTTGAAATAGCTGTTAGCATATATATTCAAAATTTGACAACAACAAAAAATATTGTAATTGTAAATGAATATTATTTTCTGCTAAATAGGATTATTAAATTGCACTTCTGACACTTCTCTAAAATCATTTTATTTTCACTATTTGACTTTTCATATTTTGAAATTTACATACAAATATAGAAGCAAGATTTTACTTCATAAAAGCATTTGATTTTTAAGTATTTCAGACATTAAACTGCTTAAACTGCTTTAACTGCTTTTAACAACTAATTACTGGATTCAAACTAGATTGTAAAAAAGTAGAGAAGCTTCCAATTATAAGCTTCTCTTTGTTTACATGTAAAATTGCAAGTTGAAAAATGGTTGACAGGGATTGCAGAATTGTTAATAAAAATGCGTCTTCATTGTATTGATAAGAACGACGACTCCAACAGAGTATAGTTATTCACCTGTTTTTACAGAAATCTACAACATGTCCAACATCAAGAGCAATATCGTTTCTAGCAGATATAAATCCTTCATAGCTTATCTAAATATTTACATACATCAATTATAAACGTGGGGGGGGGTATATTTTCTTAAAAATCATTTCTCTTTCCCCCCTCTTTGAAAATTATTTGTCCCACAGTTGTTCTTAGGTTTGCGCAGAGCATGAACTAATTTTTTAGAGTTTTATTCCCTGAATTGGGAAAATAAATAGGTTTTAGGGAAAAATATATTAATATTTGGATAAACAGTATCTTAACAAGTCTTACTGATGTACACTGATTCATTTTTCCCACGAAGTGTTAATGGAGGGGGATTCTAATATGCTCTAAAAGAGTTTCACGGGCAGCCGTAGTACATTTGAATTTCCGAGCCGGGTCAACCTTTCCGGTCCTAGTTTATACTGTACCGCCCGGACATTGGGTTAATAGAGCAGACACTCAATAGGACTAGCCGGTGCAACAAGGTTGACGCGGTCAGACTTAAGGTTGAGTTTACTTTTACTAAAGGGTCAGCGGTGCGTGGTGTGACATTTTTTCTAAATTTAATATTTTATGCAGAGTTTTTACTTTGAAAAGATGAAAGATCAAAAAAGAAGAGTATTTAATAAATATCGAGTAAAAATTTGCACATCTTAATTACACGTATTTTTAAAGAATAAAATAAAAAAATAAATTTTTTTTTACAAAAACAAATAAAAAAACAGTGCAGATTTTAAGATTAGAATATTGCTGTTATTTTTATAATTACTATAATTAAGCTTTCATTCCCAATTTTCTTTAGCGCTACTTCCCTTTACTGACAAAAATCTTGCCCCCTCACCCTTGGAAAGCCGGTAGTTCCACCTCTTACTTTTCAATTCTTTTTTTTAAAGATGATGAAATTCCAGTTTCTTTAACATGATGCTAGATTCTCTTTAAAATCATGAATTGCAAATTGAAAAAGAAATATATTTCAATCTATTCCTCAATATTTTAATGTATTTTTGAGCTTTAACATTTGTTTGACAAGCACGTGCTTTAATGGTGTGTGGCAATGAGGAAATTCTGAAAAGGCTGAACCGAATCAAGAGAAAAGATTGACCCAATATCAAGAGACACTATAATTGTATAGTGGCATGTACAACCAGGAAAAGTGAATAATTAGCTGTTTTTTTTTGCTGCATAAACCCATAATTCACATGAATATAGACACGTAAACGGAAAATGGTAAATTTTCTAACAGAAAAACAAGGAATGACTAGATGAAGGCCAAGAAATGATGTCTTTGGACTTATTTTTTGTAAGATCAAGTTTCTATTGTGGTTTCACAGATTTTCACAAGGACTAAAATGCAAAGCTGAAAACCTGGCACTGTTCAACAATCTAGATGCAGGTTGGTGGGGATATATACTATAACCGTGTTTGATGTAGATATAATCTTCATAAAACATATATTCTGCATTAACAGAATAAAAGGAAAATTACAAAATTGATGGTTTGAGAAGTATGAAAGAAAACTCCCATAGGAAGTAGATAGATAAATAAAAATATAGATAGATAAATAGATAGAAATATAGATAGATAGATAGATAGATAAATAGATAGATAATTGGTTCATCCGTTTCAACCTTTATTGAGATGAAACCAACACACAACAGATAAAACAAATATTAATGATACCAGAGGTAGAATGATTTATGAATTTAGGAGCAGATAGATGAGAGATTAGTATATATAATTTACATCGTTCAGTACAGTTCGGCTCGCACCACCGGTGTACATTTGAATATCCGAGCTTGGTCAACCTTTCCATTCCTACTTTGGACTGTACCGCCAATTTACTATTACTAAAGCGGCAGAGGAGTATGGCGATGTACATTACAGATAAACTGGACTACCCTGTGTACTGTCCAGTCTGGACTACACAGTGTAGATTAGACCTAGCACATGTTTTGCAACGATAGTATCCTGGCAAGATTACTGTGAGAAGCGCGGCTCTATTTGTAAAAAAAATGTATTCTGTACAAAATTGAAACATTTTAAATTGTGTACTCCACTATATGTATACTCTATGCTTTATTACTTTATTGGGAGGGGGGTGGGGAATGGAGATGAATGGGACGGCTTAGGGGGGGGTGAATATGATTAAAAAGTGTATACACTCTACTCATGTAGATATTCTACCTGATTTACTGGGTCCAGATAGCTGCAATATTTGCTTGAAATATCAACTTTTGGCAACTGCAGGGATAACTGTCTTTCTCTAAAAAAAATTTAATTCTAAAATATTTTAAATCGACAAAAAAATAAGAAATGATTGTTCTTTTTATTTTTTTTTATTTTTGTTTTTTCTTGTGAAAATAAACGGATTAAATTATATTGCTAATTGAAGAGAGGTTTTTATTAAAATCTAAAATGGATGACTTGTAAATAAAGTTTTATTTTAGAATTTAAGCAATGTCATAAAGAATGTAACAAGAGGTGGAAGATGGCGTGGGGGGGGGGGCTTTCTTTTATATTTTACGTATTGTACTGTACTTTAATGTACTGCTTTTACCTGTACTTTTCTCCATCCGTCCCAATCCTTGGAACCTTTTTAATCGGGAGCTGTTTCATGTACTCTTCTATCCTGTACACAGATAATGTTTCATATACGCTTCCTGTACATAGATAATGTTTCATGTACTATTCTATCCTGTACATAGATAATGTTTCATGTACTCTTCTTTCCTGAACATAGATAATGTTTCATATACTCTTCTATCCTGTACACAGATCATGTTTCATGTACTCTTCTATCCTGTACACAGATAATGTTTCATGTACTCTTCTATCCTGTACACAGATAATGTTTCATATACGCTTCCTGTACATAGATAATGGTTCATGTACTCTTCTATCCTTTACATAGATATTATTTCATGTACTCTCCTATCCTGTAGATAGATAATGTTTCATGTACTCTTCTATCCTGTACAAAGATAATATTTAATTTACTCCTCTATATCCTGTACATACATAGATAATAAGTATGTACTCTTATATTTTGTACAGTTTACATTAAATAGTTTATATTTTATGCCCTCTACCTTATTTCGTACATTGTACAGTGTACAAATACATAGATCATATGGTTTACAATGTTTAATATAAACTGTGACCTGGACACTTACAATATACAAGGATAAAATTTAATATAATCGTTTATATGCACAATGGACATATATAATATTCTATGTACTCTTCTATTCTGTACAGTGTACATATACATGAACTATTCAAAAATTGTAAGCAAATATTTTGTTAAAACTTCAAGAATATAACAAATAAGTAAAATTTGTTATATATAGATATTACATAAACTTTTGATGTACATGAATATATATATATATATATATATTTAAAAGATATATACATATATGATAAATATATGTATATGTAATAAATATATATATATATACACCAGGTTTGAGCAGGAAATTTAAAATGTCAGTTCTACAGTAAACAGTAAACATAATCATTTAAAATGTCAGTTCTACAGTAAACAGTAAACATAATCTTAACTATTTCCTTCCTTTCTCGACTCTTTCAATACATAAACTTTTCAATATCCCTTCTTTCTCCACCCTTTCTATTCATAAACTTTACTATATCCTTCCTTTCTCTACCCTTTCTATTCATAAACTTTACTAGATCCTTACTTTCTCCGCAATTTTCTATATAAACTTTACTATACCCTTCCTTTCTCCACCCTTTCTATACACAATCTTAACTATACCCTTCCTTTCTCCACCCTTTCTATACATCAAATTTACAATATCCTTCCTTTCTCTACTCTTTTTATACATAAACTTTACTATATCCTTCCTTTCTCTACCCTTTATATACATAAACTTTACTATATCCTTCCTTTCTCCACGCTTTTTATACATAAACTTTACAATTTCCTTCCTTTCTCCACCCTTTCTATACATAAACTTTACTATATCCTTCCTTTCTCCCCCCTTTCTATAAATAAACTTTAATATATCCTTCCTTTCTCCACCCTTCTATACATAACCTTGTTGACCTTTAAAAAGGTCGGAAAATATACAAATAAAGAAATCAGGAAAAAACACAAATATTCTATAACATTTATTTAAGAAAAATAAAATTGTTTTGAAATATTTGCACAAATGGCGAAGGTTAAAATTGGTTGATTTAGAAATTAACAAAAGGAATTAATGATGGATATTAGATGGTGCTTCAAGGGAGTGTTGTAGAGCTTCATGTTGGTGGAGCAGATCCGGGAACTGGGACAACAGGGTTTATCAATGTATCAGAGGCAAGGCAACTCAAGATAGCGGAAACTTCGGACAAGGCTCGACAAGTTTCCTAAGTAAGCTTCTCAAGAAGTTAATAGGGAGATCAGAAGTATAAGCATGCCTGCTGTTAGTTCAGTATCTGCATCATCAGCACGAAGGAGTCAGGGGGGTGATGTAGAGCTTCATGTTGGTGGGGCAGATCTACAGGTGCGTTGCGCTGAGTATCTGCATCATCATCATGGAGGAGCCAGGGTAGAGATGGAGTTGTGAATATGAGTGTTCGTAACTGACTGCCGGTTGAAGCGGGGATCTAAGGTGAGCGGGGATTTGACACATGTGGTGTGCTTGCTTCCTGTGTACACAAACATTGAGAATTAACGTCGGCATTTGAGTCGGAAAAGTCGTCTTCCTTATATTTCGAATTTATTTTAACAAACCTTTACTAGATCCTTCCTTTCTCCACACTTTTTTTACATACACTTTACAATATCCTTTCTTTCTCCACACTTTTTTACATAAAATTTACTATATCCTTCCTTTCTCCACCCTTTCTATACATAAACTTTACAATATCTTTTCTTTCTCTACCCTTTTTATACATAAACTTTACTATATCCTTCCTTCCTACATCCTTTCTATACATAATCTTAACTACATCCTTCCTTTCTTCACCCTCTCTATAAATAAACTTTACTAGATCCTTCCTTTCTCCACACTTTTTTTACATACACTTTACAATATCCTTCCTTTCTCCACACTTTTCCACATAAAATTTACAATACCCTTCCTTTCTCCACCCTTTCTTTACATAAACTTTACTATATCCTTCCTTTCTCCACCCTTTCTATACATGAACTTTACAATATCCTTCCTTTCTCCACCCTTTATATTCATAAACTTTACAATATCCTTCCTTTCTTCTTTTTTTTACATACACTTTATTATATCCTTTCTTTTTATACGTAAACTTTTACTATGTCTTTCCTTTCTCCATCTTTTTTATACATTTCTTTACCTTTCTTTAATGTTATTAGGCTTTTAAAGCGCAACTTTCAGGTAACAGTTTTAGCTTTTATCCTCTAATCAAACAGCAAATTTTACATCGTACGTACTCTAATAAACAAAACTTTGGCAGTTAAGCATTTCAAAAATCTTTAATGTATATTTTTTTACAGGCCGAATTTTTCAATTTCGACCATGGCCTCAACCTCCCCTTGAACAAGTGACAGTGAGTTGCTTTAACAAATTTGTGCCCAATTGGTTCAGTCGTTTTGACGTTTATTTTGATCCTAATTAATTATAATTTACTAGGTCTGAACATTTAGAAATATTCCTCATCTCTGAAAATGAGATGCAAAACTTCAAACTCGTAAAATATTCTCAAACATATTTTCAAAAATATTTTTGCTTTCCTAATTTTTTCTTGTCAGTATAAAACTAACTTTTAGAATAGACTTTCTAACATTTTTCTTTTAACCATTTTGACTTTTTAAACTTTTTTCAGGTTGTAACACTTTTTTTCAGTTAGTAAACATTTTTTCATTCTTTATTACATTCATCCATCATAAACAACTTGATAGTTGATAAATGGCTGTTATTAATAAAAATGAGGAAAAATATAAAAATTATAAAAAATTATAAAAAAATCATGATTTTTCTTGATCCTTTAATGATATTTTAAAACTAATTCTAACTTATTACCTAACTGTCTACCTACCTACCTACCTACCTTCCTACCTACCTACCTACCTACCTACCTAACTACCTACCCACCTACCTACCTAGTTACCTACCTACCTACCTACCTACCTAATTACCTACATTCCTACCTACTACCTACCTTCCTACCTACCTACCTATCTACCAACCTACCTACCTACCTACCTACCTACCTTCCAACCTACCTACCTACCTGGATTGGGAGAGCCCAGGTGGAACCCAACTATATTCTTCATTCATCCTCATTAGTTAATCAATTAATCAATAAATCTAAACATTAAATAGTTGATCTAAACGTCTACTATTCCAAATTGTTCAATCAGTTCCAATGGTCAAAATCAAATCAATCAAAACATTATTTGATCCCTAAATTGATCTAAACTTTATACAGTTAACTAATTGATGCCAATTTTGGAAAATGAATTAATTGATTCAAAGCTGGTTTAACAAAAAAAATTTTCTTTACCTTTTATCCAGCCTCTGGTAATCAACAAAGAGTGTTATCAAACAAGTTTCTGTGCATTTTTAAATCTAAAAATTTTTAAAAATTAGTGAACAATTTATCGAGCTTAAACTTTACATAACTTTATTTCTAACGTTGTCTTAAAAGCATAATATCATGTTAAGTCTTACACCAAGATTTATATACAGAGCGTCCCATATCATATAAGATTATCTCCAATCTTTAACACCAAAATAAACCCTTAATACTCGAAAGAATTATCATTTTCCGCAAGAAAATTCTTATATAAGCCGTATGTTATTTTTCAAAATGATTCATTCTATGAAGAAATTTTCTAATTAGTCCCGAAAATCGTAATTTAGACCCGTTCTCGGTCTAATATGATGTGGGACACCCTGTATTACCAACCACTAGAAATCAGGATTCGTAAAACCAAAACGTTATAAAATGTCGTCTTTTCTTGACGCCGGCCTTTCTTTGTATTTGCAAACGCTGATCACTGTGTAAACTGAGTGCACAATATATACATACAAATAATGAAACATGATATGGGCCGTAGAACAATATCCATTTAGAGCATCCAGGGGCAAAAAATTAAATTTTTTTGAAACACAAATTGAATTGAAAATATGTCAATAATAATTTCAGAGTTTCAGAACACAATTTTGAACATCTGCACACAAACTTAGTCATTTATGATTGAAGGAATAGCATATAACCAACATTTACTCTAGCCCTTACCATGCAGATTTCAAAATTCTCCCCAGCCAAATTATTAGTCTATTTTCGCACACGTAAATTGGGCTTTGTTTTTTGTATTTTGTGATTTCACAGTGCATCAAACGAAACCCGAGAATTTCACGAGAATATCCAAATATAATATCCCGAGTTTATACAATAAACTGACATAATTTTAGCAGAGTAGTTTTAATTACGATACAGTGAGAACCAGAAAACTTTTGAAATGAAAGACAACTTTTAAATTAAACTTATGATTTTGAGCAGACCAAAAAGAATATGACAAATTTTCTCTTAAAAAAGGGATTATTCTAGTAAAACTATTTGCTTTGTAATTTCTTTTATGTAGTTTTCTTATTCCATAGTCGTCTGGTTCTCACTGTATATCATAATAATCTCGCAAGAATAAGATGATTCATTTAATGTACTGTCCCGGTCTGCTGTTATAGTCTATACACCAGCTAAGTCTAAAACTGCATGATCCGTGCCGGTACAGCACGTACTGTACATTCAGTCGGTCAGACTAACTAGTGTAGAGTCGACCCAGCACGTCAAATGCAACAAATGTAAACTCTTAAGATCACAGTGATGCATATTGTACAATTTTCTCTAACCCTGCTTAAAAGTGAGTCCGGTACTTAACCCTATTCCTGCTGGGGGGGGGGTCAATTTGACCCCCCCTGTAGTTTTTTTTACATAACTCAAAAAGTATTGGTTTGAGGCTGTTGAAATTTTCTGACTTTTCTTTCATACCCAAAGCCCTCCCTTTAGGCCTAAAACCGGGCTTTAATACTAACTGCCTGAGTCCTCAGGCACACTGCCTGAATGACTGCTTTTGCCTGTAACAAACTAAATCTTTGTTTTGACCCACTTTCACTTGTCAGATTTTGATAAAATTTAGCTTTTTGGAAAGCCTATGACATAAGGAAACGGATTGCACAAGTTTTGCGAAAAAAAAATGCAAATTTTTTGCAAACAACCTGTCAAAGGAAATTTGCACATTTTTAGTTTTTCTTAATTAAAAATCAGGTTATTTCAAATTTTGCAAAAATTTTTGCATATTTGAAATGGCATGGTCAAGGGCTTTTCAAAAATGTATAATTTTACATTTTTTTCAATTTTCGCAAATTTGCAAATTTTTTTGCAGATTCTAAAAGTAGAGCACAAGAGCTTTCTAATCATTTGTCATATTTGGACATAAAACATGGGATTTAGAGGGGGGGGTCAAATTGACCCCCCCCCTCCCAGCTAGCGTATCCTGGTTTTCAAGTACCCCAGCAGGGATAGGGTTAAAATAAACTGGAGTTCATTCATTTTCATTATTAGAATTAGACGTCTAGAAATTGTCATTTATTTGTTGAAAAAAGTATATACTAAGAAGGGCAAAATAAAAGAAAATTATAATTGAATCGTAACTGCAGGCTACATCGTTAGTTAATTGATACTGTATTCATAGTAATTCTGGGTAATATAGGCCTTATCAGTGACCCACACAAATACATAGAAAGATAGATAATAAAAATAAATAGATAGGTAGGTAAATAGATAGATAGATAGATAGATATATAGATATGTACATAGATAGATAGATATATAGATAGATAGATGGCTATATAGATAGATCGATCGATAGATAGATAGATAGATAGATAGAATGTTTACGCAGTATATAAAATAGATAGATAGATAGATAGAGAGATAGATATGTTTACGCAGTATATAAAATAGATAGATAGATAGATAGATAGATATGTAGGTAGATGGCTATATAGATAGAAAGATATGTTTACTCAGTATATAAAATAGATAGATAGATAGATAGATAGATAGATATGTTTACGCAGTTTATAAAACAGATAGATAGATAGATAGATAGATATGTAGATAGATGGCTATATAGATAGATAGATAGATAGAAAGATATGTTTACGCAGTATATAAAATAGATTGTTAGATATACAAAGATACCTACCAAGGGTTAGACACGATACCACGGAAATTGTTCAGCCCGTTTTCTTGTGTTCAGGGTTCCATGAACAATAAAGTCGAAAACTGGCTTATTTCTGTGCTTTACCATTTCGTAAACCACCATCATACTCAATTCAATGCAAAAAAAGTTAAGCTTCAAATCATTTAGTGTTTTTGGTCGTGTTTACAATTTCACTCCCTGTGGGTAACCCTGTATATAGAAAGATATAATAGCTATTTAGATAGATAAATAGATAGATAGATAGATAGATCCAAATAGATTTCAGTACAATAGATGACAAGGTAGAATTTGTACACTTTCTGAAGTACAGCTGTTTTCTTACGTCACAAGTGTCAGCTCAGTTTTTGTGTCCAACAAAATTATTAATAATAGTGATAATTTTGCATAAAGTGCTTAAATCTTAAAGTAAAATAAGTGCAATTTTATGTGTTTTTTATTTTCTGTTTTTAAACCTTTTTATTCAATCTTGGAAAACAAGTCAGCTAATGTGAGATAATTTCGTTTTCCTTGTTATATTTGACACTTGTGACGTCGTGTATAATTGGTCCATTTCTCTGTTGCCACCTATTGTACTTGATAATCTATTTCTCTGTTGCCACCTATTGTACTTGATAATCTATTTCTCTGTTGCCACCTATTGTACTTGATAATCTATTTGGATAGATCTAAGAAAGCTAAAACTCTGTAATAAGAAACACATTTATAGTTATGCAATCAAGATTTTTTTGGAAATCTTTTTCAAACTTGATAAAAGTATATAAGATGTAATATATTGTCAATTAAATAACATAAACCAACAGAGTAGAAAAAAGGTTTCCCCAAAAGTTTATTTATTTTATATTTATATATTTCCTAGATTGTATCTAGGATATAAGATATATATAGAAGGGACAGTGAATATGTAATGAATATTGTTGTAACCCTATAACTGTAAACCTAAGCTACGTTGTACATTTTTAATTATCCGTAGTAGCAAGGAGAATTGAATAGAAGGAGGGGGCGATAGGGTTTCCGTACACTTTGCTGTGACGTTTTTGGACTGCTGAAGAACTAGTTTTTGGGTAACAACAATAATAAAGATTGTAAACAATAACACAAATGATAAACATACATCTGGCATTTCTGGCGTTAGATGAAGATTCACCGTATACACTAACTCATGTCTGTTTACATTAGATCGGCTGCCTTTGTTATTGTTGTTACGCAAAAACTTGTTCTTCAGCAGTCCAAAAACGTCACAGCAAAGTGTACGGAAACCCTATCGCCCCCTCCTATTTAATTCTCCTTGTGTGGTAGTGTGCCCTACTCCAATAAATCCGTTTAGACCCGTATCAATCCAGGTACAGCTCAATCCCTCTCGTTGGTCTACAAGGCATAAGAACTAATCAGTTCAATAACACTTTACTATCAACGTCAATCCGGACACGATTTATCTGAACCAATGCTTTACTATCAATTACAATCCGGACACGATTTATCTGAACCAATACTTTACTATCAATGTCAATCCGGACACGATTTATCTGAACCAATGTTTTACTATCAATGACAATCCGGACATGATTTATCTGAACCAATGCTTTACTATCAATGTCAATCCGGACATGATTTATCTGAACCAATGCTTTACTATCAATGTTAATCCGGACATGATTTATCTGAACCAATGCTTTACTATCAATGTTAATCCGGACATGATTTATATGTACCAATTCCCAATCTATTTCTATCTTTCAAATAAGGTGATTCAGAACGCTTCTCTTTTGCTAAGTGAGGAACAATTACTCACTGTAATCAAAGCGGAGTCTATTCCAACTAAGTATATTTGGGGTTCTATGTTAAAAGTTAAAGTTAATCACCATAATTACAAGTTTTACTCCGTTACATAAAATGTAATTAAGCTAATCATGTTTTGTAGTTATTTACAGCACAGTTAAGATAAATCATGATATAAATTTTATGTAGCTATTTACAAACTTAGATAATTAATAATGTACAACATAGTTCATTCATTACATATCTACGTTGGAAATAACTATGTAAAACCAGTTTTATGATTTATCTTAACTACTCTGCTTGATTACAATGTCAGAGTACTTATGTTCCTCGTTTATCAACAAGAGGGTTTCAGTGTATCTTGTAAAACAGATACCTAAGAATACTGATAGAGTCATATCAGGTTTGATACTGACAAAAGTATTAAAAAACGGAATAGTTCTTATGCCTCGTGCATTAACAAGAGGGATTGAGTATTGGACGGAATAGTTCTCATGCCTCGTGGATTAACGAGAAGGATATATGAGTATTGAACGAAATAGTTATTATGCCTCGTGGATTAACAAGAGGGATTGAGT